ATAAATGTAAATAAAACTGTGAAAATATTGTCTTTGTTAAAATTTATATGTTTATATGTATAAAAATGTGATGCTGGAAAATTTGGTGATCAAAAGTATCTTTCTTTGGTGATCATTTGTATCTAAAAGCGTTTGGTGATCAAAAATATCTTTTTTTGGTGATCAAAAGTACCTTTACTCTTAAATAAATACAAGAAATAAAAGAAAAATATAAACTTCAAATTATTTCTCTGATTTTTCACTTCTGTGATTAAGTTTAAGTTTAAATGTTAAGTTTTAATCACTTCATTAAGTTTAAATCACTAATGCATGTGGTCTAAATGCACTTTGAATTCTTCAACCTGAAATTTATTTTGAATAGGTAATTCTTATTTTCGATTCTTTTGCAATGTATTTAGGACAAAGTGGAACGGCCGAAAAAAAACGTATAAGGCCGTAGGAACGTCGTCCGTTGGCCGTTAGATCATATATATTAAATGACATTCAGTAATGCCTGAAAGTACTTACATGTTCACGAGAAGTTCATCCTTTGTTTCTGGACTAAAGAAAGTTCGCTTAAGCTACGTAGTTTACATTGTTGCTGAATAAGACTAGAACGTTTCAGCAAAAAGAATCCGGCAAGCGTATTTTTTTGAATAAATTGTTCAAAAGTTTGTTTAAACTCTTAAACGGGTAATAGGCCTTTCTTTTTTCTGCCTGTATTTAACAGACAACCACTTAATCTTTACGCCGCAGCGACAATATTCCACCTAAAGTTTCGGATTATAACGCTTTTTAACCAGTTGTGGGTAACGTGCGAACCTCGCCCGAGGTGTAAAAAATTTCGACTACGCCAATGCAGACAAAGAGAAGGATTTTTTCGTTGCTTGATAAATAAAAGTTTTCTTCTTCATGGTGGACTTGGGCTTCCACGGGACAGCTGTTGTGATTGTAAGTTCTAATTCTATTGTTTTTTCCTTTTATTGCTCTTTGGAAATAGAATAGATAAATTATCTGACAATTTGTGTTAGGAAACACCACTTTGATAGCTGGCAATTATTGTTTTTTTCTCTCATGAGCTGTTCTACTTGTAATTATGTTTCGGCAACGTCGAATGATTTAATCTGCCACTTTGCTGAAGCACATCATGCACCACCAATCTTTATGTGCGATATAGATGAATGTAACAGACAGTATAAAACAAAATGTGGTTTACAAAAACACCAACGTCAAAAACATTTGGTAAGCTATCAACTTTGTCCGTTTCGCTAAGAGAATTATTTTCGACCCTTGTTTTTATTTCGAATGAGAAGCGAGGTGAAATGAGCAAGGAAAATAGCGATCTGAATAGATCTTTTAGTAGTATTCCATCATCAGTCAACTCAATAGACGAGACACAGTCAGGGAATCAGAACGATCTTTACGAAGAAACATCGAATCCTACAAGCATGGATTTAGAAGAAAGTGTACTAAAGGAATTATCGACATCAACAAATAATGAAGCAACAAATAATAGTCGTCCGAAATCTGTTGATCAAGTTACATCGAGTGCTGTTCGATTTATTATAAATTTACGCAAGAATCGTGGAACTGAAAAATTAATTAATGATTGTGTAAAAGATATGTTTGATTTATTTATCGCTTTACAACAAGATGAGGTACATGATAGCGTCCAGCCAGTAGCCAAAATGGGTATACCTGGCTAGAATCTTTCTCTTAAATTTCTAAATGCCTGGACAGCTCAGAAGTAAAAACAAAAATTCGAAACAAAAAGTTTTTTTTTGTGGTGACTTGTCTTCTTGAAAAAACTTTGATCTGTTGCTGAACAGGGATCGTCTGGAGGGTACTCTAGTATTTCCAAATTTTTATTTGGACATAAGGTCCTTTTCCTTATGACAGTTCTTTATTGGGCTTCAAAATAGCTTACGTGAGCAGTCGTCTGACTTAGAAAATAATGAAGAATGCAAGAAAATTTGTTACAAGGAATTTTTTCCTACTTGTAGGGATGTTGACGTTTATGGAAATTGTGCAGATACCAATCACGTTGAACAAAAATAACTGACACACATCCCCTCTACTTTCGGCTATCTTGAAGTTTATTTAACTGTAGTCGTATTTACTGAAAGCACATGCTCTATATGAAAGGTACTGTGTTTTAAGACAGTATATGTGAAAGACCTTTGATAGTGTAGAAGTGATTTTTCTGAACGTTATAAAGAGAGAACAAACAATCGTTCTATGTTTTACCTCTCAGTTTTCTTGAAAAATATCAGCTCTCAATAAGATAATTAGTTCTGCACCAGAATTGCATTAAGGTTTTACCGATGTGGTGTTCCCAGTAAGGAGACAAAAGGTCATTCCAGCTTTCGAACTAAAAAATTTGTTATTTCATGCAAAAAAAGTTGATTTCGTTAGCGTTCTGTTATTTTTACTTTTTTTAAAGAAATTACCCACAACTGCATATTGTAGCGGCAGTGACAAACTGTTGTCGTGCAGGTTCGTAACTGACGGTATGTACTTAGTGAATAGGTTCTGAAGATTAGAAGTTGTTTTTTCAAGACATACTACCTTGTACATCTTTGTCAACGCTGACTACCTTTCTTGCTATTTTAGAATCCAGATTATGTTCATGAATTGAAAAAAACTTTATCAACTAAGTACAGAAGAGACATATTTATGAAACTTCAACTAGCCTTTGTTGAACCTAAAGCTGTTTTAATGGGACGAAAGGTAATAATACATTTGATCATTATTTAAGTCAAGACTGGTTTATTGCTGTTTCATTCTTCTTCTTTCTTAAAGTGCGGGAGTATGGTTCTCAGACTCAAACTGTTTCCTTTGAACGACTTGAACTTTTTATAGAATACAAAAGTAAAGAAAGTGGCCACCGAGCCGTGCGTTAGTGATACTCTACCGGACAACTACAAATTAATGCTTAAACGAAAGTTTGTACGAAAGCAAAGAGGAACAATGACGCGAAATTTTACAAACACCGACTCACTCCACTTTCGAAGTTTAAAAATCGAAAAAAGACGAACTGACATTGCACACATGAAACTTAGAAACTTTTCAGAATAATCCCGTCGTCAGATGCTGGAGATGATAGTGAGCGTACAGTTAAATACAATTGTAGATAAGATTTCGCAGATATCTAGGATTTTGTTCTAGGATAGAATAAAAGAACTTCAGAGCTGTGCGTCACCCAGTTCATTTAAAACGCCAAACTTCTGTTGCCGCACAAAGTGATAGAACAGTTATACTAGCGATAATTTTTTTCACTTTTTAGATGTATTATTCCCGTAAACGCAAGCATTTATTATCGAAACATGCCAAAGGATGTTATCTTCCGTTTCTGAAAACATTAAAATCGTTGCTTCAACAGCCAGCGTATTCAAGTATGGTAATTGACAGTATTCAACAAGACCAACAGGAAGAGAACAATACAACTGCAACAAGTATGGAATATGAATATTGTGAACAATCTCAACATTCAGCTACACACTCAACAACCGTATCACAATCAGCAATATTAAATGATTTAACATCTGGTTGTGTTGCTAGAAATGACATTGTTTTTCGGAAGCAAAGTTCATTAAAAATTATACTATATTATGATGACGTAGAAATTTCACAACCGTTAAAAAAGCGTAAACGGATATTATCAGTTTTCTATTGGACAATGGTGAATATTCCTCGTGGTTATCGTTACCAAGATAGAAATATTTTCGTAGTTGCTATTTGTGAGAAGAAATACGGAGTTCAGTTTGGTTACAATGCTTTACTGAAGGATTTTTAATTAGTATGAAAAAATTATATGGCGGGATTGAATTCATTATCCAAAATCAATCGATAACATTGAATGGTGGTTTATTTGTTTTATGGGGAAACCTACTAGCATTAGTTGGATTACATGGGTTTAAAATGGGATTTAAACATGCAAAATCCCCTTGTTTTTTATGTACAATCGAAAATGAAAATATGGCAACAACATCGTCGCTACATTAAGTTGATTTACGAACAATGGATACCTATCAAGAACAATGTGCAGAAATTGAAACCACTAATAATCGTACAATGAGAGATGCATTATCAAAACAATATGGTATTATTCAAAAGTCGCTGTTATGCGGATTGCCCGGATTCAACATATTTGAACAATCAGCACTAGATGTGGCCCACGTATTTTTAGAAGGTATTTCTCTTTGCAAAATAAAGACTATGGTACAGAATATTATTATGAAGCTGTGCAAACGGAAAAGATGATTTCAAAGTGACAACGAATTCTGCAAGGGGCTACTCTATATGCAGGCGATGCAAAGGTTCACGGCAGCAATAATGTTGTCACAGCCTTACCGTCTGCGTGTTTTTGAAGAACCTCTGTCTGTCGAACTAATCATAATTTTTATTTCTATTTCTTTGAAGTATTATCAAGAGGACTAGGGAAACAGAGATACTGAATGCTTTACAAGTCGCATTTTTACATATGCATATGTAAAAGTTCCAGGCTAAAGAAGTTTGTTCGGCTGCAAGTAGTAGATAAGTTTTTCACTGCTGGGAAAAATAATTCTTTGAAGTAAGGCACTTTTTCTGAAAATCAACTTGTTTTAGGCCTGCTGCAAGAATAGAATTAACTCCTCGGAAAAATTGCAGAAAAATGGAAGAGTTGTAAAGTTTTGAAACAAAATTTCTTATAGAATTGTCTAGAAATTTTTTATATATAGGAGAACAGAGTAACAAAACAATTAAAATAAAAGAACAGACGATTTATTTAGTTTCAATTAAATTTTTAGTGAAAGGCAAGTTTATAGAGAGTTGGAACATGTCTAATTTTGTAGAGAACATACAACTCTATATTGGAGTACGTTCAACTCGAATCCATCGAAAAAATCTACTTATTGTCATGCGAAAGTGTTTCCAAAAAATTTTGCGCTTCTGGCAAATTTTGTTGAATATACTTTCTGTGGAAAATTTAAACCATCTATACGTGTTTGAATTAGCAAAATGAAAAAAAGATGCTGACAGAATAAAATTTAGATTTTCTGCTGGTTTTGGTTCTTTCATACCTAAAAGTGATCGTGGATTCTGGAATAATCTAGCTGCTTTAAAATGGAATATTTTACGAAGATACTGGGATGGTCATGAACTCTTCTCAAGTGACACAAGATAAGAACAAATCCGAGCATTTCTCCCGCATGTAATTTTTATTTTAGGTATATGTAGAAAACATCTTGAGCTATTATTTTTATCTTTATCAGACAAAAAAGTGTTATCACTTCGTGCAATTAACAACGCAATACTCAATTATAATTATCCAACATATGAATCATCTCCATCAGACTCGTTTGACTTAACAACTTTGAAACAAGCACAAATATCATTACCGAATGTTGACAGTGGTGAAATATTTGCCTTTTATTTTGTCCAATATTAAATCAGACATATGGTCAAATGATGAATGGAGATGTTTGTTGCTTTTACATGAATTATTATCCTTTTGTTTCGCAAGTGAAGTTGATGAAATTAGTATTAGTCAATATGGCGATCTGATGAAGCGTTATTTACAAATATTCGATGCTCAATACGGGTGGGAGAAACGAATTCCAAAAAAACATTTCAGTTTACATTTGCAAAATCAATTTTCAGCTTTGGGACCAGCACGTTATTGCAACACTCTTTCTTTTGAGAGAAAACACCAAGCAATAAAAGCAAGTGGAAGAAGAAATTTTGTGAATACTGCATTTACAGCAATTACCAATTATATCAACAGAGAATGTTCAACGTTATTCGACGACAATGGTAATCCTGCAATAACAAACTTCGGACCAAAAATTGAAACGAAAAAATTGAAAACTGTAGATGCAGATGAATATGGACAAATACTACAAAGTGCTGTATTTGCTCGAAATGAAGGCATAGAACGATGTGTTGGATTAGTCATAGTTGATGGTATTGAGTATAAGACAGGTGGGGTCTTAATGGCCAGCAATGTTCATTTTCCTCAACATCCACAATTTGGAATTATAAAATGCATTTATAAACAAAAAGAGGAAATATTTTTGGAATTTTTCGTCTGTAGAACATGTGGGCTAGAGGGTAATCTAAATGCATATATTATAGAACAAAATGATACGTATTTGATAAGAAAACTATCTTTTTTTGCTTTTAAATGGCCACTATCTGTATTGAGGTTTGAAAATAAACAATACGTTCTTTTATTTCCTTATGCTCGTATGTTTAAACATTAGTTTTTTACTTTTCTGTTCATTTACTTTCCTACAATTTTTGTTATTACTTGAATAAAAACTAGTTTTTCAAAAAGTTTTGTTGTTCATTTCTTTTGACATGAACAATTTTGTTTCAACTTAATACCATAGTTGTGCCTCTCTCGTTTCCTTATTCGTCTAAAACAGAAAAAGCACGAACACACTGATTTAAATTGTTGTTTAGTTATTTTGTTTTTTCTTACCACTTTTTCTTTTGACTTTTCCATTGCAGAACTTACTATTCATCACCTCGTTCAATCATTTTTTTTTCTGTTTCAGATGACATCTCTAGTACCTGTAGTTATCGAACTCGAAGATAAGAATACTCGAATATGAAGATATGTAAGTACTTATTATTTACTTATTATTCTACAGGCGTTGTTCAGAAAACGCTTGAGTCAACAAATGCGAAACATGCGACGTGGTCATACGCCTCGTTCTTCAAAAATTCACCATGCGTTACTAACAGCTAATGGTAAGCATAAGTTATTTTTGAAACTACTTCGAGTTTTCGTTCATTTTTGTTTAAACTTTGGTTAACCCAAGTTTTGATCTCTTTTTTTGCTCTCAAGCCTGGCCCACTGCTTCTGATCTTTGATATATATTCTGACATCAAGCTGGCTTTGAGCTCTGAATGGGCCAATGCCCATTGAACATGAACGTTATCTCTACCGAGTATTATACAAATAAAAGCGAAAACATACAGAAAAGCTTTTTCCGGAAAGCAAGGAATTTTAAACATACTTTCATATGACAAGCCGAGATATTTGTCTTCTTTTTTATTTAGACCAATTAGACGATCATGATACGGATACACAACAATTGATCGAAATGCACGTCGCAAACATTAGTCATCAAAGCGATTTTGAAAGAGTAGCAAGATTGACCTTTGTTACTCGCCGCAAAATAATAAAACAGCCACACACAAATGTCCAACACATTGTTGATACCATGGCTGTCGGGCCATATTTTTGCTATTTATGATCCGCCATGCTGAGACTATCATCGATAGTACAATTTCACAAGTCAGTCTGCTCCTTTCCTGCTTCATCTGAATAATCGTTTGAAGCTACTTCGAGGTGGTGATCCTTCTTTGTTTAGGTATCTATTGAATTCGAATTGTTAACAAACATAGATGTTTCAACGGCTGAAAAGCGTATTAAAAATCTGTTTTTAAAATTATCAAAATTATTCAAAGATGTAAGCATACATTCAGGTTTTCTCTACGCCACTAGATGTCATTCAATTTCGAAAATTTCTTTGAACTTAAAAAAAATTCGCAAAAGAAAGACAACAGTCAAGAAAATCTCAAATTTTTCTTATATTTTCTTCAAGGCTGCATTTTTATTTTTAGTCTAAAAGTGATTACTCATTGCTTCAAAATACTGTCGATCGTGTTAAACGAGCACAGAACATAATTGTATCATATACAGTGAGCCAATCTTACACTACTGCTGCAAAAAGTTTCTGTACGGCTCAGATTTCTTTTTGTTTCGACCATAACTCAGCAGTGCAGTGATCTTTCAGCAAACGGTTTTCACCAAAATGTTGCCCATTCCCCGACTATGTCAACCAAGTTTCTGCGATATCCTTTAAAAATAAACCACAGAAAATATTATGCGGATCAGAAATTCAGTAGCGAAACGAAAGTTTTGAAGACTGAATGAGAGCAATGTTATAAACCCTGTAACTCGGTTGTCCAGTATCGTAGAAACTTGGTTGACATGTCATTTTGCAGAGAATTGAACGGACTATTCAATAGAATGGTTGACAAACTTTCGGAATGAACTTCAAGGTCGTTAGGATTTGTAGAAACCCGATTTTTCAGAAATCATTTGCTAAAGACCCAACGATCTAGCATAATTTCGCTTCACTGAAATATAATTCTGAATATGTTATTGATTTTGATTAAAAACATAAAAAAAATGATAAAAAGCGAAAAATCTGCAAAAATCAGGATCCCAACAAACAGACAAAAGATGAGTGAAATATTTTTCATGAAATGTTAAATCTACCCGTTTTCTTACGCAGTTTTTGATGTTCTTTCCATTGATATCTTTTCAAAAAATTTTCATCCATTTATTACCGAGGTACAGAGTTTACATGTTGACCATGTTAACTTTACCTTAAAGTCAGTCTGCCGGCCCCGAGAAAGCGTTTTTTCAAAAACCTTTTTTTACCAAAATGTTTGTTATCTTCTCCGCTTTCCAATGGTATAGTTCTCATAGCTTTAAACTAACTTCCGTGACAGGCCAAAAAATCAATCACATTTATCGTACGGAAAATTTTTGCAGCTCTTCGAAAGGTACCCGAACATTGATGTCGACCTACAGACAAGAATAACCAATATTTTAAAATTTTTTTTCGACAAATATAGTCGGAGGAATGGGCAACATTTTGGTGAAAACCGTTTGCTGAAAGATCATTGCATTGCTGAGTTATGATTGAAACAAAAAGAAATCTGAGCCGTACGGAAACGTTTTGCAGCAGTAGTAAATGTGGTCACAAAGTGAAGTTAATGTTTTTGTTTCATATCGTTTCAGCCAAAACCAGATGAGAATGCACAAGATCCAATTGCAAATATACAAACAAAATTGCCATTATGTGTGTTTATTTAAAAAATAAATTTTCATGATCATTTTATTATTCACATACAATTTGGCGAAATTACATTATGTACCTTCGATGAAACAACAGATCTATCAAAAATAATAGCATTCTGTATTGCCTATTATTATGTTTTTGATATTCATTATACAAAAGAATTTAAACCAGTATTGGCCCTATTTGATTATTCCATTCAGAATAATAAACAAGAACATTTTTATCAGTTAACTACAGGTGTACAAAAATTAATAACTGATTTTAATGAGTAATAGTTTTGTCTCTCTTACAGTCGTTTCTTTCTTTTTGTTGTGAAAAAGGACAACATTAATGAATAAAACTATGCACACACCAGAGATTATTACTTAAAAAATGGCTACTGTGAAGAACAAGCAAAGGATTTTGAGAAATATTGCAAGACTGCCATACAGACATGAAATTCTTAAATTTTATAATGATCGAACAAAACAAAAGTCATGTAAAACCAAATTTCCAGATGTTTATAAAATAATCATTTTTATCTTTCATAAAAAGATAAAAATATTTAATACCAGTGGAAAGAAACCACATTCGTGAGAAATAAAAGTCAGAAATAGAATTGGCGTCATAACAAACCCATAGAACCATGATATCAGCTAAAAAAACGAGAAAAAATCATCAAAAAAAAAAAGTCGATACTGAGGTTTGAACACAGTACTCCTCAGTTGACAACAGGCACTATATCTGTTTGTCTATTTGTTTGTTTCCAGTGTGTAATTCTCAGTGTTTTCACACACTAAGACTCAATAGCACAGTGTGTTCTGGGCACACTGAACAGGTTGTCTCCAGTAGGCATTTTGAGTCCAAAGTGATGTGCAATTCCATTGTGCCCGCGGCACACTTTATTTTTTACAGTGTACGAGCAAGAATGGAGTAGCTTCGATGCTCAAAAAATTATTCAACAATATTATTCTAGAACTGAAATCCATACATGAAAATACATAAATTAGGACGCGATTATTATTTGGAGATAAACCGAGAAAAGTAAAGAACTATCTTTGTAAATAAAATTATTTTATATGTTTGCTCTGCCTTGCGAACATGAATGAATGATTCATGTCACCGACGACCTCATTACAAGTGTATAGATTTCCTCAGGATTTTATATACTTGATTTTTCAACAGTAAGTGATTTGATACATAAGCAACATGTAGAGAGAATCGAACCAGAACACCGCTGAAGCGGACAACTGACACTGTACGTTAGCCTGTGCCTTGATACCGAACCGGCTAAAACTACTGGCTTGTAACCAGAGCGTCTTCGGTCTGCTTACCAATCCAAACATACATTTTATTTTCACGTGTATGTCTGTGAGTTTGACTCTCTGTTTTAGGAGAGATTTCCATTTCATGAAAAAAAACTTTAATTTTAACTACAATAGGTGGGTTCCAGAGTGGGCTCGATCATCTTATCGTCCTGTCTCGCAAGACGGTCAGGAATAAGATTTTTAAAAGTTTGACGATATGAAACGCCAAAAAAGTTTATCCGCTCACTTCCCGCCGAACCGAACTGCGAGACTCTACTGAGATCTCTATTTATCATATGTTCAGGAACGTCTCCCTGCAACATCGCTTCTCCGACGATCTCCAGCAATTGGAACATGAATTATCGATTACGCTGTGCTTGTGCCAATGTTTCTTTCGTTAAAAAGTTAAAAAGCTTTATGTAAATCACCTTCAAGTAAAACAAACCATTGCAGATGTACTGTAAATTTCTAAAGTGAGCTATCATAGTTCAGAGCTGGGCAAGTCAAGTAAAAAATGCCTCAAGTCCAAGTCAAGTCGTCCAAAATTTTTTGGAGTCTGACTTGACTTGAGAAATTGTTTTCAAGTCAAGTCATTTCTAGTAAGAGATTTTCGTTTAAATTAGACTTTCTCTATCATAAAAGGGAGTGTCTGAGGCTATAAAAACTCTCTCACCCAAAAGGTGCTAGCAAATTTTATGTTCTGCTTAATTTTAACCACTCTCTAAAACAAAAAGGATGCAGACTGACCCTTCATGGGTTCTGTCTTTTAGATAGAATATTTTCATAGTTTGATCGAAGTGTGATAGAACCTTGAGGTTCTATCAAGGTGACTGATCCATTTTGAGTAAAAATGGTTCGATATTTGAGAAAAGAAATATCCGTCCATTTAAAATAGTTCGATGTTGAACCATGTTGTTTTAATCGACCATTTCGTGATGTGATATTTTTGTCCTAATATGTACAAGCGAAAATATTTAAATGAAGACGCAAATCCTACATATAGATGACGTGAGTTCATGGCTGATTGTTATGTGATATATCCATATACCAAAGGTTGACTGTAGATGTATAGATTAGTACAGCAGATAGCACCAAGCTATTAGCTCGTGGGAAGTTAATATCAGGTTAAAAATTTAAAATCGTCTCGAGCTTGTGATTTTGTAAAAAAAGTCTCCAACTTGTGATTTTGTTTCGGTCGTGAGCTTGATTGAAGTTATGAACAACTTCTACACTTCAAATGTACCCTAGTCAGAAACCTATACATTTCTTGGCAGGATCCTGCCAGGATTTAGCTGGCTTTTGGGTAGGATCCTAGGAAAATCTTACAGAATCCTAAAGAAATCAGGTATACCGGAAAGTTGTAGGATTTGCCAGGATTCTGTTAGGATCCTGTTGGGATCCTAGCAAGAAAATGCGATGACTGAATCATAATGTAGCAGGAATTATTTAGGATTTTAGTAGGAAAAGATAATTCTTGAACAGGAATTTCATAGGATTGCTTATATGTTCCTATCTCTCGTGAAATTTCTCCATCCGTTCTCACTATTTGACCAAAAGTTACTAAATAATTCTTTGTAACTCTAAAGCATTTAAAAATGGCGCGTATACATTTATTACTTCAACCTGAGATTAACTATCCTTATTCATTAAAAAACAAAATCCTAGCAGGATCCTAAATGTTAGGATATGCGATTCCTGATAGGAGCCTAACATCTCAGATCCTGTCAGGAAATTATTAGGATCCTACACCAATCGTAATAGGATCCTGAATTTTTAGGATCCTATAGGATCGTGGTAGGAAACAGATAAGAAGTGCATAGGATTTTGTCTAGGGATATCGTATGTGATGTTTATAAAAAGAAAATTTTAATACCATATTAAACTGTAGATGGTTTCATTGCATATCGCCTTGGGTGAGAACTAGAGAAAAATGAAGAGGATGAACTTATAGTTGATGTGTTTGCTGTCCTGGCTATTACTGGACTTTCTTTCTGCGCTTTATTTTTTAGTAACTGAGTTAATTGCTTATATACGTTTGATGACAAGAAAAAATTCCGATCTTGGATATATTGACTTAGCGATAGCTGTGGATTCTTATGAGATGAAGTATAAGTTTCACCGTTTAACTGTTATGAAAATTATAACCTGTAGCCACACTTATCTGGCACATCTAAATTGATTATGTGGAGAACTCAATTACAAAAGACTTTTCCCGCCTCGAGACCTTATCTGATACTTCATTCGATCAAAAAAATAGATCGAAATTCTAGGTAACTACTAAATTTTGGCTGAAACGCTACGATAACAGAAAATATCGTAAAACACGTTTCTCTCTAAGCATCAAAGGTAGAAAAATTATCTCGACAATCAACTGATCATGGTATATCTGAAAAACTTTTAGAAAATGATTGGAGCTGAACTAAGATTCCACTGAAAGAGAAAAATCCCGTTTGTCTTCGATTTAGGTCGAACTTACTGTTTTTTTGTGCCGCGTACTCACGGAAAAGATTTTCGTTTGTCGGAATTTGCAGAATATACAATTCTGCATCTATTTCACGTATCAGTTGATTAAAACGACTATTATGAAGGTAAACTAATGAGAGTTTTCTGATTTCGTCTGACGAGGACTTGTCGATCTTAAGTTCTTTGTAAGTCGAACGGTACAGCAAACCATGAGCTTAGTTCATCATTCTTTGCTGAAGAAAGAATTAGTATCTTATTCTGACGTGCTTATCGTTTTATCAAAAATTCAACTCTTCCCTGACTCTTGTGTAAAATATTACTTGCAAAATTTCTGACCTGTCCAGCTCTGTCATAGTTAATGCATAAGTTTTGATACACCGCCATTTCCACGATGACAGATCCGCCACAACTCTTCCAGAAATTTTTCAAAATAAATGTTAAAGAAACTTTAGAACTTTAGAAAAGTGACGAAAAAACTAGTGAATCTAATCGATATTACAATTTCAATACAACTTCATCTTTGAACTAATTTCATATCAGATAAGTATTTGAAAAGCTCAAGCAAATTCATATGATATCATGAAAATATGTTTTATGTGAAACTACTTTTCCCACGCTGCTCACACCCCCATCGACCTCCACACACTGTCACAAATACCCAAATATGTACTATGAAAAATTTGCGGAAGAGTCGGGATCCTGTTCGCGAAACAGCCGTGTCACGTTAAGTTTCATTTATAGAATCAAACTATTATAAACAGAATAGAGTTCTGTGATAAAGTTTGCATTGGTCTGTACGATAGGTCAATGAAACATTGGTGACGTTTCCCATTATGAACATGTAGAATCGAGCGTTCTCGCTGAAATATAAAATCCTCATATAACCGCGAGCAAATTGAATATCTGTTGAAGTTCAAACAAAAACGAAAGCAGTATATAGAGATAAATAATCAACAGAATGCATCTTACGTCGAATGCATGGAAACCTTGTCAAATAACATTCTGTTGTATTTCTTTTCTGCATAGCTCATTGTTTTCGGACGCATATCGATTCGTCCTGATTGGTTAAGAAAGCCCTGTAAAAAGCAGGGCTTTCGTAACGCGATAAAAATGCATAAGTGATCAATAGGAGGCCTTCCGCACCAGGTTTTACAGGGCCTTCGTATTGAGATTCGTATATAGCTAGAGAATATGAATAGGGCTTTCACCACGATGTGTATAGTAAAAGAGTATTGAATGGGACAAAGTCAGATCGGCCTGTTGATCGCTACGAACAATAAAGAAACCGAGTTTTTGTTGTAGTAGACTGTTTCGATCTCTCTTTGTTTACACAATAAATTAATTTCAAAATTTTTCCAAACAGAGCACAACAATCAAGCGCAGAGTACAGGCACAAACAGAGAAACAGAAATAAATAATTCGAACATCTTTCCCTTCATTTTCAACTATTAGACAATGTTTTTAGTTTAGAATATTATAATGGAGAATATTTTTCCTCTTATATTCTGACAGAATAAAAAGCTTACATCAATGTTTTTTATCAGTCTTTGAATCGTGTTACGAATACCCTGTAAAACTTAGTTACGAAAGTCCGGCTATAATGTATCATTAAACTATACTTTTACCATAAAAATTAACTATACACATCGTAGCGAAAGCCCTGTGAAATCGTGTTACGAAGGTCCTGTTCGTGATCTGATGGACTATGTGACTGAGAGAGACGATATTACATAAATACTAGGGTTACAGAAGCCCTGTGTCTTTTTTTAACGAAAGCCCTATAGAATAGAAAAACAGTGCTTTCGCAATACGAAGGCCCTGTAAATTTTTCAGAGCGAATCGATATGTATACATTTCATAAAGTGTGGAAAAAACTTGTCGAGCCAAGCTGGTCGGTCCGGTCAGGCTGAATAATCAATTCAGACGGGTCTGTCGGGATATGTTACAGTAAATACGGAGCCGGTCGGGACGGGCGCTAAATATGACCCGTTGCCGCCCCTGGTTGGCACTTGATCTTTTCATTGTTGGACGTTTCTCGGTTGTGTCTATAAACTGCTAAAAACTGCAAATCTTTATTATTACTCTATCAAAAATTCTTCAAAAAATATTGTAGTTCATGATAGCGTCAACAGAGTATACAATGATCAAAGCAAAAAATGAAACTTTATATTGTAACCACTTTGATAAGAGATATATATAATTTCGATATGAATATACCCGGAAGAAGTATTTGTATATAAAATTAAATACGACTTACTAAGATAAAGTTAAACTTCATCAGCCAAAACATCTATATATCAGAATGAGATCCAAACTGCTATACATTTGTGGTATGTGGAGAGAGGGACTGAATTAGAAAAAGAAACGACACTGTTTGACTGAATATAGATAAAGAAAAGAGAAATATTTGCATGACTTATAGTTTATAAATTATGACCAAAAGGATTAAGTTTTCGTATAGTTCGATGGCATAGACTCTTGTCTAATCCGAAAATTAAAAGCTGTCTCTTTCTTATTAGATTTGGTTTTAAAAATTATCTGTAAATCAAAAAATTCGTCACTAAAATAAGCTAAACGACTCTATGTTTGCTTAGAAATCTAGTATGTTTCTGTTTAGTAAATATTTAAAGAAGAAGGTTGACAAAGAAAGAAGAAGAAAAAAAGTGAAGAACATGATGACGATGGTAAAAAATTTTTTTTAATATCATCTATAATGAGTAAGTTAAAGTCTTTCATTTACGGATGCTCTTTTGTAGTAGTTGTTTTTCTTCTATAATTTATTTGTAAAAATTAAATAAAGATGACTGTCCGTGGATTAGAAATAACTGGTGATGTCTTTTGTGGTATATTAGCTGCTATTCACATTTACATATTCGTTCTGGAAACATTTCTATGGCGATCTAGAGCAGCAAAGGGATTTAATTTGTCACAAACCGTGGTTGATTATTCAGCTGGTTTGGCCGCAAATCAAGGTTTTTACAATTTACTATTAGCTGTTGGTCTCATATGGTCATTGGCTGAACAAGCCCCTTTAACAAAAATATTCTTTTTGTCAGCAATATTTACTGCTGGTCTATTTGGTTTTATTACAGCATCAGTACGAATTCTATTTGTACAAGTAATACCTTCATTTTTGGCATTAATTTTCGTTAATTTTGGTTATTTTCCCAATCTAAATAATTGGTCGAATTGGAGACATCCTCTGTGGACCTTGATGATTATCGTGGGTGCTGGATTAATTACAATGGCACTGGCCTTTCTGATAAAGAAAAAACTATTAAACACAAACCAGCAAGTTTAAATAAACTCTAAATCATAAATAACATATTACATCATAATGGAAAAGAGATGCGCAGAGACACAAGGCATGGATTATTTGATACATTTTTTTTCTTTTATTCACTTCAGTGTTGACGGAAAATGTGTGGTAATAAAACTGGTTGGATTGCTAGTAGATAAAAATACTCCTATCTATATCGTATGAAAAATACGATTATTTCACGTACTATAGATACAGAATAAGAAGTCACATACTACTGATATATTTGTCGTCGTACGTACCGATCCGATCGCTTTTATCGTTTCATACGAACTTCTACTTTCTCAGAATTCGTTATAAAACAAATTAGACAAATAAATAAACTCATGTCAGTTGATTTTTGTCTTATTTATTTATTCTGTTGACTGAATTATTTTTACTCGCTTTACAATTTGTTGTATCTGTTTTATTTAAAATACATAGTGCTTGTTCAACTAACGTGATTATAACAGTCTGAATTGTATTAATGATCGAATAGTTGGTTAGTTGACGTATAACGCTTAATTAACATTTAGTCTTATCTTAAACATAGTTCGCATTCGCGGCAAAGTTAAAAAAAGTCTATACAGCCGCGTCGCAGCAAAGTGAAAAACATAATGTGCGAATACAGACTTATTTTCTATGTATATGGGATTTTATGATTCTGAGATTCTTGCAAAAAAATTACGTTAATAATTATCTAGGCGTTAATCCTAGAATCTCATACACATAGAAAATAACTCGAACGTCTATACATTGACCAGAGCAATTGTAAGAATTCCAGAATCGCAGAGATCCCTATGTTTGTTATTACAGTTAAAATTCAGCTTCGCTGCGAAAGAGTATTGAGCATAAGGTCTAGCTCCATTTTATTTAAGCGATAAACTTATATTTTATATCATAAAAATATGGACTGGATAAAACCTCAGAAGCATCATAAGGCACCGCCGTTTTCTGCTAACTGCAATTTTTTCTGATATAGAAAAGATTTGTACTGTTACAAAACCTCAGAATAGGACTAATTTTCTCTGCTATACGTGATAATAAGATTCAATAAATCATGTTTTTATCTAAAGGTTTTTCCAGGAAACCATCAATTCGCTAAATTCTTTTTTGTAGTTTTCTTATAAATAGAATATAAAATACTCTAAATACTGTACATTCTACAGTTTTAAACTCGTTTTGGTCTTTTTTTGAGTGAATACATAGGATATCAATACATGAAAAAAGTCAATATAATCTTGCCGGAAGTTTCAGAGACACAACCGAGTTTTTCGAAGAATTCTTAGAAATCCGTTTTGAGAAGCCCTTCTGGAAATATTTGTGCTTATGGAAACATGACGCAAAGTCTTGTCTTTTCAGCGATGCAAATCGCAAATCCCTATCTCATTTCTATCAAAAATTATTTAAAAACATCCATACGTCTTATATTTTTCAAAATGAATAGTAGATAAAGGCTTGACGTTTACATCATTTCAGTTGTATTTTCTACGAAGGCCTTTGATAGAAATTTCAACAAAAGAGAGTGAACAGCACACTTCTCGACTGGTTTCATCTATTATCTTTTTGACTGACGTCAACGTAATAGAGCTGAGACAAATTTCTGCTGTCGAAAGAGTATTTATTAGTGAGTCTCATGTCACAGGAGTGATCCAGCTCGGTTTCAGTTTTCAGAAATACTCAATAAGTACATTGACAAGCTAAAACTCTCCAGAGCTACGTCTCAAAAGAGATACATTATATATTCTCATACAAATCCATATATTATAATGTATCTCGTTTAATCAATTAAAAAGTATCTCTTTTGAGAAACGAATATTTTGGCAAGAAATTGCATTTCTTAAAAGAGATACAATTATAAATATGGAATCTCTCATTTTCTATATTCCAAATAAAAATGAAATTAAATAAGAGATAGATGCAATCAAGATTATCTTAGAAGGTAATTAGTACCGTATTTAAAAAAAATTATTTTGCAAAAAGTTAATTTTAATCTTCGCTGTCTTCATCATCATCGGTAAACGTCAACTGTTTGTAAACTATAAACAACAACTGTTGTTTGAAAATGTTTATAAATAATAATTCTCAAAGCAATATTGTCTCACTCTTCAAAAAATCATCTTGGATTTTATAGGAAAGCTAACTCAAAAAGGCGCTTCTGCCATATTGTTCAAAGAAAATCTTTTTCGACATTAACGTATAAATCAAAACGGTTCTGAACGGTGGGTGTGTACCACTGGTAGTTGTGCCCATCGATTAATTTACAAAGTGATAAAATTATATGTGTAAATGGTACACATAAACATAATAATACTCAGTTTCCTGCACATGTAGATGAAATTAATCGTGGTATTAAACGTAACGTGTTTAAGAAAACTCGTGGGTCGGATATTAGCACGAATGATAATGAAGACAGCGAAGATTAAAATTAACTTCTTTCTGCAAAATAAATTTTTTTAAATACGGTACTAATTACCTTCTAAGATAATCTTGATTGCATCTATCTCTTATTTAATTTCATTTTTATTTGGAATATAGAAAATGAGAGATTCCATATTTATAATTGTATCTCTTTTGAGAAACGCAATTTCTTGCCAAAATATTCGTTTCTCAAAAGAGATACTTTTTAATTGATTAAACGAGATACATTGTAACATATGGATTTGTATCTCTTATGAGAATATATAATGTATCTCTTTTGGGAAACTACGCTCTCCAGTATATTCTACCCTTTGCAGATACAACCATACAGTACCTTATTCAGCCTGCTGACACAAATTCAACTGTAAACACTCAAGTCAGTTAAGGGTATGCCCCCTCTTTTTTTATCCTCTTGAAATCTAGGGAAGCTGATGTCGGATCTGGTTCTAATTTATATCAGACATAGAAAAAAAAAATTGATATATTTTTGCCCAGAATTTTCTGACGTGTTCTTCTATGGGTTTTCTGGAAAACGCCGGTTTTCATGGGCGTACATTACGACCGCTCGAAAAAATGATCCGATCGAGCTCAAAATTTCACCACAGATACTTCAGACCCTATCTCAGGTTAGGTTTTTTCTTTTCAAAAAATATTCTTTCTTGCTCGAGATATCCGAAACATACTGAAAAGTCCATATAAAAAACGGTTTTTCATTTTGAAAATCTTCTCACGCCGAACGTTGAAGTCGAAAACGCTTTGAAAAAAGCTAATCCGACATAGGGTCTGAAGTATCTGTGATAAAATTTTGAGCTAGATCGGACCATTCTTTTGAGGGGTCATAATGTGTGGCAATCGAAGGGACTATTGAAAAAACGTATAGTGAGAAAAACACATATTGTACACAAGACTGTGTTTTTCAGGGTATTTGCGGTTATGCTTATATCCCTAAGAAAACTCATCCAAAAATTCTGGAAATTCTGGTATTTTTTCCACTTGAACTTTTTCCTTCTGCTATTATTTCCGTAAAAAGGGGTTGCAAAAGTGAGAACTCAGTTCTTTTTGTACTTTTGAATGTGCTCTTTCTCGTCGTCTGTAAAAAAGAAGAGTTGATGTATATCTTTATTGATTCTGATAAAGAAAAGAAGAGTTACTTGAAGAAGCATGGAATGGGATACGTGGGTACATTAACAATATTCGAAATGTTTGTCAGCAAATAATTGCAAGTCAAGATCGACAAAGTACAGAATGATAGAGAATTTCAAGCGCTATCAGAATACATAATTACTTCTGTAAAAAGTTATTTCTGTATTCATAATAAATTTCGACAAATGACTGAAAAACAGAATAAAAACTGCAATTTGTGGGAATCTGACGATGGAGGTGACTTCGTTGTACTCGAAAACGTTTTCAGCAAATATGTGCAAGTCAAGACATTTATATACAGGGTGATAGAGAATTTCAAGCGCTACCAGAATATGGGATTATTTTTGTAAAAGTATATGTTCGGAATAAGGAAAATATCTTGAAAAAACCGTGTACAACTATTTTTTTCCAGGCGTTTATACAACAATAACAAGCTCGCGACCTTGGTTACTTTCACCGATCAGGCGAAAAACAAGGACTGACAAAAAAAACAGACAAGGATTTACAGGTACTTTCTGCTTTTTACCACTTTTTATCGTAATTATGTTTTACAGTGTGTAAACAGGAGTATATAACCCTGATAGGTACATCTTAGAACTAGTAAAATCGACGAATTTATGGAGTATTATATAACATTCTCTTAATTTTCGGTTAAAATATTTATTTTTTATAGTCAGTAATGAATGTCGCTAATGAGGAGCATCTGTTGTAAAGTGTCGTAAGTAGGATTCACAGACGCATATCATACTGGGAAGTTTTCTTATGGTTTTTTGTTCTTGTTCTAATGATGACAATAAGTGGATTGCCGTTTATCTCTTCTCATTCAATCCATGAAATTTTTTATCTTAATCAGCGCACTATGGTTAAGGTCATTAGAGACAGTTTTATTGGCTAGTTTCACATCCACTGTTCTCGCGTGTCGAATACAACAGAATGAAAAAACTAGCTTGTTTTTGATCCAAAGATAGTATGGTATGTGGACTGACGCTAAATGACTCATCCCTTCTATAACAGATTATGCACTTTGAATATATGTTAGGTAAAATGAGATTCATTGGGTGAATCTATTAAACTAAATAAAGCTTTTAATTAGAAAAGTTTTGACGTTTTGGATTTTTTCTGGTAAGTAGTAGTTTTCGAGATAAAATAATGGTCAACTGAATATAGATAAAGAAAAGAGAAATATTTGCATGACTTATAGTTTATAAATTATCGCTCACTACCGTGCGTGTAAAATGCATTTATTTTGAAAATTACGGCTTTCCAGAAAAAACCAAGAATGCCAAAGCTTTTCTAATTAAAAACTTTAATTAATTTATTAGATTCACCCAATGAATTTCATTTTACCTAGCAGATATGCATCATTAGCTGATTGCATTTTTTTATCGTACATTTTTTAATCGTACAGCAATCCGTCAGTCCCCACACTAGTATACTACAGTAAATGCTTCTGCATAAGACTAAGCGAAGCTAAACGGAGGAGAATGATACAATCTTTCTCTGGGTCGAAGATAATGTCTACTTCATACGAGCATCTGCCAGCAACAGAATTCGTGTAGTACTTAAAACATCATAAACCACATCCCAGTGAATACCGTGATAAAGTTATCATAAGTAAACTGAGTAAAAACTTAACTTGGTAAAAAAATGGATTCGGATGTTGTTTGGTATACCACATTGTCGGATAGATCTTGACAGTACCATCTTTCAGTGTCTTCTTTCTTTACCACTGACGAGCCATAGTGGCATGTATGTTCATTACTTTTTTGAGCCAAATTTTGGTTGCGAACGAACTGAGATAGTATATCATTATCATTTAATATTTTATAAAGTTCTCGGTTCTCGATACCCTAGTGAAACTTCTTGTAATCAAGATCTTATCTTCTTGACTTTTTCAGTAAGGTCTTGATTCAAGACCTTGGAAAAAATCATCATTTTGTTTTACACCCTTGTGTAAATATGAGTACGAATATTTTCACACTTAGAATAACTTCGAATTGTTTTCCTTCTGGACCATAGTTGTTTATGGAAGAATCTATGACTCTATACGGTCGTACATCTAATGGCTACGACTGTCATAAATAAAAACAAAATGTAAAGAAAATTTGTCACTCAAGCTCTGGCAACATCTTGAGTGACAGATTCAAGAATCCAAGATCTTGAAATATCTTGTCTTACACCACTCAAGATCTTGAATTTCTTAATACAAGATCTTGAGTGAAAGATTCAAGAATCCATGATTTGACTTCCTATATTTTTTCCAAGATCTTGGCCAAGATCTTGGGTACAAGAAGTTTGACTAGGGTAGGAATAGCCATGATTGTTGTGAAGAGTTGTGGAGTGAGATATGTCGCAAATCTCTCTCTTTTTTTAATAAGTTCATAACGGATTTTTTAACGATGAGATTGCTTAAGCTGATTAAGTGATCCTATCTGCCTTTCGTCCAAGGGGGAAACAGCAGAATTCCAAGCAGCTGTGGACTCCCAGACCTACAGAAGCGTGAAGAATCCTATAAAAACTTCACGAAGTTCTAGAAACTGGAGGAATCCCTGGAAGTACAAGAAAAAATCAGAAAAAGTGATTAGAATCCGATGAAATCTCGAAAATCTGTGAAAATGACTGAATTTGGGGCTAAGCGGAAAAATGCGGGAAAATTCAAAAGCAATCAGGAAAATTCTTCGGGCTCAGCGAAGTCAGGAAGAATATCAAGGAGTCTCCAGGAGTACAACAAAATTTGAAAAAAATTGATTGCCTGTGGAACGAAGCCCAGGTTACAAAAGTCACAAAATCTGCTGTTTCTCCCTTGCTTTTGTCTCATTATCTGCCCTTTAGTTCTCTCAATCGATGTTCTTTAGCTTCTTTGATTTATCAGTATCTAGTTAATCACATTAGAAAAGACTAAAAACGGAACATTCTTCTTCATTTTTTCCAAGTTTTTGCTAAGAGGAACACTTCTCTCAAGAGAGGAAACACCAAGACATGGAATACGTTTTCCTTACGGAGAACACCGCGTATAATGTTGCTATACATTCACGGTGGAACGCCTGCTATTCTAATACCAAAGCAAAGACTTGATCTTTTCATCATAAAAGTCATTTAGAAAATCTTTTTCCAAAGTACGTTTTCTGGATAGAGTTATTATTCAAAAACTTGAAATACAAATATTTTGATTTTTTTTCCGGCCAGATAGTCCAAAGTGTTCTTCAAAGCTTTAGAATGTATAGTATTTATGCTATTCTATATCGTATTTATAAGAAATCGAGAAAAACAAGTTTACATAGTTCTATGATTTTCCCAACCGATTTCCGAAAAACTTTTAAGCACAAAATATGATTTTCGAGTTTTTCGGTGGTATTAAGTACGTTTACAGGAGAAACGCAAAACGTATTTTCTATCAGGTTTTTTAACCCTTTTCTAAAAACAAATATTGTCACGAGATTCGCTGTGGTCGATTACCTATGTCCCATGGGATTTAAAGGTTACGCGTAGCCACTAAATATCAGTCGAGGAACTTCAATAGAATCCAATACCGCGCTCGAACCGCGGAAAGTCAAAGTCTCGCTTAATTCCCATTTCGAAGAGGACACTTTGGACTATCTATCCACCAAAAAGAACCGATATTTATATTTCAAGTTTTTGAGTAATAACTCTGTCCAGAAAACGTACTTTGGAAAACGATTTTCGAAATGACTTTCATGATGATAAGGTGCGGTCAAGTCTTTGCTTTCAATTGGAGAGAACCACAAGTCTCTGGAAGAGATCCGCACGAGCCGAAAATTTTTGGCCTGCCCGGCCAGATGATGAAAGTTTCCGGACCAAGGCCGGCTCGGCCCGACTAACTGTCGAATTTATTTGGCCCGGCCGAACCAATCCTTAAAGTTTTCTGATCCGGCCCGGTCATTTGGCGTGATTTTCTTCTTGCATCTGTAATACTTTTGCTGACTATGCAGTTGAAATGTATTTCTCAAGCTAATATTTATATTTTTATGATTTCTCGGTACTGAGTATACACATAAATTACAAATCGATGCATGCTTAAAAATTCTAAGTTCGACCCGACCAAAATACTTTGCGGCCCATGCCCGGTCTGTGCTAATCTTTGGTCACTACTACTTTCCTGTCAAACGCTATTCAAATACATTCGAGTCTATTTGCTTTTATTGGCAATAATTTTCCGGCGTCTTTTTTTGCTGTACCTCTCTCAGGCATGTGTCTCGATGTTAAAGGTGGAAGGAGTTATCCTGACACTTTTTCTTTTCATCCCTACGACACTAGTTGTCTTGTTGAGATAGTTTAAAACTCGATGCGATAAACGATTCATGCGTTAACTTGATCATAGCTTTTTGTGTGGATTTAACAGGGATCTTCATTATAATACGTCATTGTCGATCAGTATCTATCACGTGATAGATACTTCTCTACCTCTACAACACGAATTTTAATTCGAACTCGGAGTAGGTGCTCAGGTAACCACACAGTCTTTTAACAGCGTTCATTCATACTGCTTTTGGACTATAAATGCGACAAACTAACATTTTTGAGCTCTCTAGAATACCTTTTTATCGAGCAGCTTTTGGGGTACGAAAGCTCTTGCTCTGTCAAAACTAACAAAATTGACAGAAAAAGAGCAAACGCCTCGTCAGTTGAATGTAGTATAATGATTGTGAGAAGTGAGGAGATGTCTTCGTTCTTTCACAAATGATTGTTCTGTTCGACGAAGCAGTTTGCGAAGCTTCAAATCGAATTAAACTTTGTTTTTCGGATGTCTCGTACTTAAGAAATTTGGTCTCATTAGTTCTGGTGAAATTCTTTAATTTGAAAGAGTAGACAGAATGGGAAAATTCTCTGATTTTAGATTTGTTAATAAGTATCATCATGACCCGTTTTGCACAAAAACTTGCGTTATTCATTGCTATAGCTGGTAGTCTCTTTGGCTACTTGTACCATGTACCGCACAGTGAAGGAATTGATGAAATGGGCAAAATTCGCTTGATTAGTACAGTGATGAAAATATGTAATTTTGCTGTAAATAAAATGACAACAGTGAAGATGGAGATCATAAATTAATGGATATTTTCTCTTAGGCGTCGGCGAGTGAAACATTTGGTATAACGACAAGGATTAATATATTAAGAAATTGTGCTAAGCTAGCAGAACTGAAACGCACAGAAAATGTTAACGTACAGGTAAACTATACAAAAGTGAAGATGAAATGAATGAATATAATATTAAAGTTTATTCTCGATAGATAGAAGATACAAAGATTGATCACGTACCAGTGAGAATTTATCGTTCGAATCGAATAAAGGATATGAACAAATCGTTATATCCTGTTATTGTTTATTATCATGGTGGTGCATTTTACATGGGATCATTGGGTAAATCGTAACTGATTTTGTGCAAATATCCGCATTATTCTGGTTGAATATAATTTTAATGTCTGCATTTAGAAACTCATCATTATATTACTAGTAAATTAGCTGAATTGACTGATTTTATTGTTATATCTGTTGAGTATGTTCACGAACTTTACATCAGGTTTCCACATGTATGATCCTCATTTCGTTTAGCTACCGTCTTGCGCCGGAACATCCGTTTCCTGCGGGTTTAGATGATTGTTACAAGGTGACAAAATATTTGTTTGACCATGGAAAAGAATTTCAAATTGATCAAAAACGAATTGTACTTGCTGGCGACTCAGCCGGTTAGTAGAAGGGTGCTCGTGTGATTTCTGTCCATGTTATTCGTCTTACTGTTAAATGGTACCATTTTCATCTACGGTTTCTTCTCACTATTGATCTTCCTGCGTACTGATATCAATCGCTGCAAAGTCAGTTGTAATATACGATTCATTAAATGTAAGAATTGTATGATTACCGGTCACGCACGAAGATGATTCGTACTTATATCATAGAGCGTTCATTTAAACGACTTCTTACTGGTATGTTGAGTACTTTGATATAGAATACTAGAATATGCCCGAAGGTTTATCAGCTTTAACCTGAAACGGAAATGATTGTTTTCAAGACAAAAGATTTTGATAAACTCTGGCGAAAATTAGAAACTAAAAAGTTTCTTAAATACTAGGTTTTTTCGAAAAAGCCCCAAAAATTCTAACAATCGTCATCATGAAAGATGCTACCTTGAAACGCATTCAGCGCATTAGCGATGCTGAACTTACGAGGAACCTCTCGAGGTGATAAAACGCTTTTTGCTCGGAATCTAGTGGATTATCGACCATGCTGATTACGAATATGACCATGGGGTGGCCCTTAGCCATTCGAAGATCCGATTTTCTAGAAAACCAGTCTTTCAGAAACCCTAAAATATAGCCAGAACCTTTCTTTAGAGGCATGATTATAGCCCGCAAATTGAGGCATCCCCAGCCTTACACAACCTTTCTTTGCAAATGTATAGAATTTACAAGAAAAGCTCTAAATTAATTTCTTCTCATTCCTGTAGCTCTGAGCTGACAATGAACATTTAGGGCTTTTTTTGTAACTTCCATAACTTTGCAAAGAAAGGTTGTGTAAAGCTGGGGGATGTCTCATCTTAATCAAAAGTTTGCGGTCTACAATCATGTCTCATTAAGCTTTCTTAATGAGATATGATTGTAGACCGCAAATTTCTGATTAAGATGAGACATCAGTTTTTTCGTCACTTTACTAAAGTTTGATTTCTTTAAAATTTATTTTGAAAAATTTGTGGAAGATTCTTGGCGGAAATGTCGGTATATCGAGTATCTGACATAGATCGTATGATGGGGTTAATAATACGGGATTTATGACCATTTATCTTATTTTCGTTTCTAGGTGGAACTTTTGCTGCTGTGTTAGCACAACGTTTGGTTGACAAAGATTATTCGCCGAAATTGCAAGTGTTGATTTATCCAATTGTTCAATTTTTTGATTTTATGTTACCATCATATATGAAAGCAAACGTTGAAGTGTTGGACTATGGCACTATGGCAGATGTTTTATCTATTTATTTGAATAAAACGATCACTTCCGATATCTTAGGTAATAATCACACAACACCAAAAGTGAAAAAACAATTTGAAAAATATATCGATTGGTCTCTTATTCCCGTCGATATACGTGGTGAACGGAATCCAATTGCACCTGATTATGGTAGTAACGAACTGTATGAACAAGTAAAACAAGCGCTCACCGAAGATATATCACCATTGCTCGTTGATGACACACGTTTGAAAAAGTTACCGCCTACCTACATGTTGTCAGTTAATCATGATAGACTACGAGATGAAAATTTTATTTATGCCAAGCGACTGGAGAATGTTGGAGTCAAAGTTGTACATCATCATTATGAACATACATTTCATGGTGCATTGAATTTTCTTCATGCTCCAATGGATTTGAAAATAGCCCACACAATGATAGACAACATTGTAAGATATCTTCTAGAAAATGTCTAATTAAATACATTCCTTTATTCTATAGATTTATTGTTTGCTGGACGCAAGCTGTGTTTTAATTCTGATGCATTTTTTGTGATAATTTATATATAAATGATCTTTGTCATTGATATAATACAAAAAACAGGCTTTGTGCTTTTTTCAATGGGTAAGCTATTTCATACGTTTTTACAAAATGAAAGACAGCATTCTTTTAACATAATATTAAGTTAATATAAAGAGTTTTTACTCAAGAAGGATCAACATAAAACTGATGCTCACTAACGATGTTTCGAAATGATATTCAGTTGGCCTGAACATCGAATGTTAGCTTACCGAACTGAAAGCTGATTATACGTAAAGCTGATACCATCTGACGTTTCTGTTAAGAATAATATCGGGTAGTCCATAGGATCAAACGCTCAAGAAACTCGATAAAAGGAGGACTGGTGTTGGTCAATTAGGTGCAACAATTGTTGAACATATTACTATCCATTTCAATGAACAGTGCACTCGGTTGTAAGTTTAATAACTCCAGAACGAAAGCAGCTGGAGACTTGCGGTTTTCAGCATTCAAAAGAGAATCATATTTTTTATATGCAAATGTTAAATCTGATTGGTCAATTTTGATCAATCAGGAGAATTCTTGATGAACATTTTAAAAATAATATTCCGAAGGCAATTACCATTCGATAGAGAAAATTGTTCTCTTTCGATCTGCGAAAGACTGAGTCCGCTAGCGTGTTTCGTTCAGGAGTTATAGGCATTTTCCCGAGAGCCCCAAACGGCATTTTCAGTGATTTTCGGCGTTTTTCGACCCTTCATCGAAGTCAAATCGCCGAACAAAGTGTATATTCGGAATCAGCATGCAAATCTGCGTCGAATGACATGTCTTTAATCTGCATTTGATGACTTTCATGTTTTCACCACGTCCATGACATGATCCACAGAGCGGTATGATAATTAACTGAAAAAAATGAAAGTCATCAAATGCAGATTAAAGACATGTCA